ACAGTGTATGTTCAAAAGTCGAAGAAAGAAATGAAAAAAAATTTGCAGTCAACAATAACAAAAAGGGGGAAAACCGCGACATTTAAATTTATGTTGATGTTGCACATCCAAATCGGGCGTTACTTTCTGTGTCGACTGTACATGTGGATGTATTTGAATTTCATACGTACGTACTTGTAAATGCAAAGATATGTAATGTAATATTAAAAGAAATTGTTATATTTAAATACAATCGATAAAAATGTAAACCAGTTTCTCTATCTTTAACTTTTCGACATTTGTTTTCTTTGATGCAAATGTATGAGAGTATGGATAATTAAAAATTGCTATGATATTATAAAGGGCAAGAAAAACTGAATTGAAATAAATGCAAACTTTCCCAAATTACGATGACATCGTGTAGTATTAATGATCAATAAAGTTATATGTCAGTTTGAGCAATAATCTTATTATAGATTGTAATGGAAAATATTTTTACATATGCCGGAAGAAAATTTTTAGATTAATATACCGTGTCTGAATTGTCAGCTTTTATTTGAGTAATTATCAAACTGAGAATTACCCATTTGCGCAATTTTTTATGTGAAAATTCATTCTCTGTATATAAATACAAAGTGGTAAGATCCTAGTAGAATTAAACCACTAGCACAGGTAAAAGAGACCTCTAGGCGGCATTGGTAATTGATACATGTATACCAGAATTGGAAAATGATAGTATAATAATTAACAATGATATACGTAGCGTGACATTTCAGAGATAAAAGTGTGTGAATTCTAGCTTATCGTTATTATTATCAATTTGTTTCAGATCCAGGTACAATCAATATGTCAAAAGTTACAGTGTAAATTCTATTCGAAATTTACTAATGAGCAGATTCAAACGATTAGAGATCATTTTACCAAAAAGCCCAACATAGAATTCACCGATGATCAGGATAATTCTTCAGATGATTTACCAGAAACTGAGGTAAGCGATCTAACCGCTCCTCTATCCAATCATTTCATACCTTAATTCGGTAGATAAGATAAATGAGGAAGTTAAATCTTTACTGGAGACTGAGGTAAGTATAACTACCAAACCCCAAGCCTCCGACTCAAAAGTCAAGGTAAGTGCAAAACCTGCAACACCTACACCAACCAAATCCCGTTCTCTAATTACTATCTTACCAAAAGACCCGAAAGAGAAACAAGAACAGGTTATCAAAATGGTACTGGAGCGGTTTCCTTATTTGTCTTTAAAATATAGTACTGGGAATGACGATTACTTTAGTGGTGAATATTGCGGTGAAAAAAGTTACTATCTCAAATGCTATAAGAATAATCTGCATCCAATCCGAATAGTAACAGTAAAGGCATAAATTAACTTATGTAATAGCATATGCATATAATAAAACATTTTTCGTGCTCTGTAATTAGGATCACATGGGGTTGCTCCCCTTGGGGCTCTATATTGATATTGGTAAGATTTTTCTAATGGTTTGTGCAAAAAAAATACCACAGTACGTTTATCTTTAGCGTAATACGATCCTGGCCAAGAAAAATAATTTTGTGTTGCTTCGTAATAATAAAAAACTTTTTAAAAAAATTATGTGATCACATGTCCTTTGGTTATGCGCCTTACGGGGTGTTACTGCAGTATGTAGATATCGTCGACACATCAGTTTATATTTGCCAAAATTATTCCCGATCGCGTGCCTATAGTCAAGAATTATCTTCTTTAGTATTTGACAACGTTCCAAATGGAATGTGCAAATCACTAGAAATTGTATAATGACTCTTCAACAAATTTGTATTTTGTAATTGTTTTTAGATTTAAATTTTTTATTTTTATAGATGAATTGTTAGCATAACAATAGATTTTATAAAAAAGTTTTCTAATAAACAAAAAAAAGAAAAAGTCTCATAACTAAATTATCTCAAAAATAAATATAAGTAGTATAAACAGAACAGGCTAGTACATCAGTACTTTCAGTTGCAATTCCAACTACAATATAAGATGTTCCACGTAATTTTGGTACATAAACATCCTGTATTGTTTTATATAAAGTTCCAGCTATAATTGGACATGCAACTTCTTTACAAATGTCCACTATATCATTATCTATATTTCCATGCTCATCAGTAAATCCAATATAAAGGTTGATGTCATCAGTGATATCTTGCTTTAGTGTTCCAGAAATAGTAAACGTATCTGTTGATTCAGGAACGACAGGACCAGATTGTTACATCGAGTGGGTAAGATTAGAACATGCATCAAATTCAGTAGTTCTTTTATGAAGTTGATGTGGAATAGCATTGACTATGGAAAGCGTAGCCAATAAAATGAGTGCAAAAACAAAATTTCGGTTCATTATGATTATATAAAGTTATTTAACGCTATCATGGAAACATAGCGACACGCATTCATTCATGCCGGAGAAGAGAGAAGAGTTTCGTGCACACAGCATCATTTTGTCTACCCGCTCGAGTTATTTCATATATTTTGCTTAATCTCTGTAGGGCGCAGTGAATTAGCGATTTATATTATAGTACGAGGTAAGTTTTGTGGACGAGTTCGTGTGTTATTAGGATGTGGAATTGCGAGCGAATTATACAAGGACAAATCTGCGATTTGTCCCGAGACATAGCGAGTTTTTACAGGCACTATTATCACTGTATTGATCCCCTCCCCGAATGATTAAATTCATAAGACAAAAATGAATTAGCTTAGTCTCTTGCGCATCTTACAAGTTTTCCTTTTTTTAGCACGCGGTATATGATCGACATATTAGCAATGGACATACGTATACAGTGGCCGTCATATGTTTTGCATCACGTAAATAAAAAAATAATACATGTAATGGTAATATCTCGTGATTTTACACGTTATTAACACGTGCAAGTAAATATACATGTATATCGATATGGTGCATAAATCAAACGTTTGTATTTTATAAATGTATAAACTTCTTTACTAAGAAAATTTAATCCATGAATATGATATAATAGGCCTTTTCTGAGCATATTCACGGATTAAATTTTGTATTTACTTAGTAAAGGAGT